TACTTGATATCTAATTATCACATTATTACAAGCCAACAATGCCACTGAAAAACGTAGATTTCTTGAAGGAAGATAAGACATCGATGTGATCATTATTCATTAATATGAAGTACTAGTTTGGTAGAGGGTGAAAAACTACACTTCTAGTTTGACATAACCAGATCTAGATCCATGGCAAGTCCCAAAACCAAAAACATTCAACACCCAGCAAGCTTCACTTTCAACCAGTCTTAAACTGGCAACAAGCAGTGGTTATATCTGCTATGGGCCTTCAAGCTTCATTAATTTGTAGTCAAATGAATAATTTCTCTGGTAAGCCAACAGAAATTGCTTTCAGAAATATCACTCTTGTTTTTGAAATTATGTTCAACACACCAATTACATATCCAAGACATCCAGATACAAGATGTATATAGCAGAAGAGTTGAGTCCTAGTATACAAAAAGAGAAGAAAATGAAAAGAGAGAAAGAATTTCATTGAATAATACAAGTGACAACAAAATGTGCCAACTTACTAAACTAACATAAATAATTTCTTATTAACCACAATAGATAAATTTTTTAGTCTAATGTCTCAAACAATTCAACATTACGGAGACTTGAGCTGTAGAAGAACCAAATTTTACCAAAGTAATTACAGTCTCCCAAATAAGAACCTTTTCTGGTGTACAAGCAAGAATGCGCCTCTGAAGAACTCCAATTTATTTTAATAGTTAAGTTGTTGCAGGCTAACAAATTGCTATGAATCACTGGTTTTTGCAACATTCCCTATCACCTCAATCAAAGAAAAGTATATGAATCATTTGAAATAATGAACATCCATTTATTTCATTTTTGTCGTAATATTATTAGAATGTATTGGTTTAGAGGGATTGAATTATTTCTTTTTCTCCCAAGTATTAGAAATAGGGAATATAATATATTAGAAGCTAATTTTGACCATACAAGATATTTAGAAAAGTTATTAAACTTTAAGCATGATGATAAACAATTAAACATACAAGCACATATAAAATGAAACAACTATGCTCTATAATATATAGAATGGGTGGCATGATCAAGAGATGATGATGTTTTAGTAAAAGAATAAATTATTTATGCTACAAATATTTTAATATTAGGTAATTAAATATGTAATTTATATACATTCATGAAGATTAGCTACTTGGCAAGCTGATCATTGAGGTCGCCTCGAATTTTCAACACGTGAGTGGGCTCGCGCTCATCGGCTATGACTTCGACCAATTTTTCTAATGGTCCTCTAGCAGATTCTTCTTCAAGTGTATGAGGATCAATTGTATTTTCGGAGGGACCAGGTCGTGGTTCTTTCCCCTTGAAGGTCATCATCTATGGTCGCTTACTCTTTGAAGCGATATGGACAACTTTATTGTAGCACTCTCGAGAGTCTAGTTGCAACTATTTGACCACTCTTACTCCACTAGGGGTTGAAAATTTCATCATCTGGTGGTAGATGGACGATCCTGCCTTCAGACTTCGGAGGAGAGGTCTCCCATTACTGTGTTGAAAGCATACGAGTAGTCCACGACCACGAAATATATTATTTTTGTCGCCTTGTTTTTCTCACCGGCTGTGCCAAGTAGGGTGATTATGCGTGGGGGAAAATGTGGTCCCTTGTAAATCCTTACAAATGTGTGGCAACTGGCTTTAGGTTCGCATCCTTAAGCTTTATTTTCTTGAATGTAGGGTAGTAAAGGATGTTGACCACACTACTATTGTCCACTAGCATCATGTGGACCTTGTTGTTGCTTACCTGGGTTGTGACGACAAGTGTGTCGTTGTAAGGATGATGCACCCATCTGGCGTCCTCTTTTGTGAAACTGATGGCTTTAGTTTCTCAGCAGGTTTTGGGAGTATTCTTATATCCTTTGTGAGTGTGAAAATGTGCTCCATGGAAGCAACAAAGGGAGTGTAGTCACTATAACAGGAGAATGGCACGATCGTTTTCCTAGATTTTGTTCACTATTTCTTAGATGACTTCCTCTTGTCCTCGTTGTCCCTCTTGTCTTGATTATCTTTCTTTTTCTCCCCTAGCCTATCCTCGGCTTGGACATGGGTACTGGTTGAGGCTCTGGAGTCATTTTGCCTTAGGGTAGCCATAGAATTTTCAATTCATAGGTATTTTTTGGCCATCTTGTAGAATCAGGCAATGGACATGTGGCCCTCAGCTTGAAGCTTTTTCCACAACTCAGTGTATGGGTAGATTCCAATGATGATGAGCTCGCGGACTGATTCCTCAAGTACATTGGTTACCTTGTTCAATCTAAAGTTGAATCTTTCTAGGTAAGACTTTAACGTCTCATCTCTTTCTGGTCGGATACGGTTAGATAGTTCAAGCGCACTGAAAATTCTATGTTTGCTTGAAAATGTCTGAGGAACTGTAAACTTAATTGCTTCCATGATGATATGGATCCTACGGGGAGCAATTTAAACCATCTCTTTGCTCTTGTAGTAAGAGTAACAACCTAACAACATCATTTGCTTGGGTCCGAGACTTGGTGTAACTCTATCAGGTCATTGAAAGAATCTAGGTGATCTTGGGGTTCACTTTTCCCATCAAAAGCCTTGACACCGTGCATTCGGAATCTCGATGAGAAAGGTACTCAAAGTATTGCTAAAGAAAACGGAGACTCTCCTTGTCCGGTTCTCTGCTCATCCTGACATGCTCAGAGTTCATCGAGGGCTTTTTGTAACACGTCCAACTGTCAGCCAGCTAAACGACTGCTTTCTACGGCCTCAGTATGACTTTTCTGGTTGTTTCGTGAAACATTCAGATGGCCACAAAGATCTCTATGTGGGGCATATCATCCCACTCTCTCAATTCTGTCGAACACGCTTTAGTATGGTTGCTGCTTGAAAAGCACGAATGTTCTACATGAGGAGAATTTGCCCTTTCCTCGTATGGGTTATGATCGACACGTTGGTTATAGGCATCTCCATGACGTGAGTTATCGGCAACACTTCGTTCTGGAATACCTGCGCGACATGAGTTATATTCAACACGTCGGTTATCAACACCATGGGTGAGCTCTCGGGTCGGGTTATTGCCAACATGCTCGTGAGAACTAGGTGACCTGTGGCTAGAGATATCTCGATTACGTCTCTGTTGGCGGTGGCGTTCGCTCATTACGCTTGAGCTATGCGAGGGTGTCGCGGTATGACCAAAGTTGATGAATCCCTGATAATTAATTGATGCTAGATCAAAAAATGTAAAGAATTATAAGTGATAACACAAGATAAACGATTTTTAAAGTGGTTCAAATGCTTGAAAGCAAACCCTACATTCACTATTTTTCTATTGAATTCACTGAGTATGGATTTTATTACAATATATTGCTAGTGGGCTCTTTTATGACCTAGATTTTTTCGTCCCCCTAAAAATGATTATAATGCGGTTTATATAGGGCCAATTCAAACATATAATTGGCCCTATATAAACATGAAAACAACTTGATCCTTGATTGTAATTCTAGAATTCGTATCACATTGCCAAAGTTGAAATTATCCCTTCCTAATTTGCCGCACAACGGATTGGAAATAATATCAAAATTCGATAAATTAAGATGAGTGGTGCGATATTCGGTCTTATATCTAGAAAGATATCTTTATGCCAAACTAGGATTTATCCTCTCTGGAATTTTCGCGCAACACTAAGTGTTTGACACGTGGCACAAATTTGTGTTTATGATTTGACGCACAACATTAACTATTAAACAAATTTGATTTTTATTCCACTTCTACTTTCTCTCATTTTTACCCCAACTGCCTATTTGTTTGTGAAAGTATTATGTATCTCCATAGATTATCATTTATCCCCTAATCAAGTATCAAAAAACACGCTAATAGGGTGATATATAATAATTTTTGAAAATCATGGGCTTCTTCATCTCTCAGTGGGGTGAGTAATAAAAACCCTCATCATTTTTTTTTTTTTTTTTTTTTGTCTACTTAAATACATGAATCAGTCTTAAATAATGAACAACCATTTATTTCCTTTTTGTCGTAATATTATTAGAATGTATTGGTTTAGAGGGATTTCTTTTTCTCCCAAGTACTAGAAATAGGGAATAGAATATATTAGAAGCTAATTTTGACCATACAAGATATTTAAAAAAGTTTTTAAACTTTATGCATGATGATAGACAATTAAACAAACAAAAAAAAAAAAAAAAAAAAAAATTTGAAACAATTGTGCTTTATAATATATAGAATGGGTGGCATGATCAAGAGATGATGATGTTTTAGTAAAAGAATAAATTATCTACGATTGTTCTTTATTTATGTACATGTTCTTTATTTATATTCATGTTCTCTATTTATGTGATTGTTTAATATTCACTAGCCCTTTTAGATGATGTTAGAATCTGTGTGGGTGTACGTATGTGTGGGATAAAAGGAGGGTCTTGACCATTTTTAAACCGATCGTTGTGTTGATTAGTTCCGCTTAGGTCGACTATCATAGTTTCCCACATGCATAATTTAGATTATTAAATATATAATTTATATATATTCTTGTAAGGAGGATTAAATAATCTCCAATGTGAGCTTAGATACCTCATATACCTCCAAAAACAAAAAAACAAAAACAAAAAAAAATTATATACATTAATGTGCTCTTATCAGTTTAGCTTTACCTGTAGTCCATTACAATGTTGACTTCACATTAAATTTGTCCTATATTAACAATAGGGTATTTACACTTTCATCCCTTAGGTTTGAGGCATGTTACCTGCCTTAGATATTATAGAATACAAACACTCTAGTTTTGTCACATAATTGACATTAGTATTGTTGGATCACTTTTTTAATACCATAACGGTAAATCTCACATATCGACGGGCGGAATGTACACATTGAAAACCTTTTACTAGTGTCAATAAAGTGGGTTAATAACACTAACGTCAATCAAACCCTAAATCTGAGGGAAGAAAGGAAATATCCCTATTAGCAGAAGATGCAAAAAAGTTTTAAATAAAGAATAATTCAGGAAATTAAAATTTATATGTTGGACAATAGAATTAATTTATAAAAGACTATTTAGAAATGGGCCAGAGGCCCAGAAGTGATGCATACGTCTGAAAGGCCAGGGAGATCACTTCTTGAACTAAATGTAAAAGAAAATACAAACAAGATACGAATTAACACAAAACAAGGCAGCTTCTTCCTTTGTGCTTCAATGGTCGCGTAAACTCAGTTCTTTAATCAAAGCATTCAAATCAGAGTAAGATGAACCTCCTTCTTCAACAGCTCTCTTTGCCATCTCCCCAAGTGCCTTGGCTCTGCTCCTCATTTCCTTTGCCTCATCACTCGTTAATATGGCTTCCACAGCCTTTTCCACCGCTTCCCTCTTAATATAATCGCCAAATAGCATAGCTGCTTGCTGAATTCCAACGCTAACACCGATCTTAAGAACCTGAGTTAATAACTTTTCATTGTAAAACTGGTCGGCTGACACTGGCCATGCCGCCATGGGCACTCCAGCGCTCACTCCTTCAAGCGTTGAATTCCATCCACAATGTGTCACAAATCCTCCCACTGCTTCATGATCAAGAATCAAAACTTGGGGTGCCCATCCTCTTATTATTAGTCCTCTGCTTTCCATTCTCTTCTCAAATCCTTCAGGCAACCAATCTTCTTTCCCTTCTTCTTCACCCTTTTTGTCCTTCCTCACAACCCATATGAAGCTCTGCCCTGAAGCTTCAAGCCCCATTGCAATCTCCATCAATTGAGCAGAAGAAAAGTTAGCAACACTTCCAAAACACACATAAACAACAGAATTTGGCTCCTTTGAATTCAGCCATTTCAAGCACTCCTGTTCATCAATGGAGGCTTGCTTTCCCCTGGAAGCTAAATCTTCTAAACTCCGATTACATAGCGAAACAGGGCCGACATGCCACGCCCTCCTTCCCAAAACTTTCCGGTAATGATCAGCATAAGCCGGCTCAAGCTCGTAAAAGCTGTTGACAATAACACCATAGCTCTTTAACTCTGATGCTCCCATTTCTTTGAACAACTTGCTTAGAAAAGTTTCGCCATCTTGTTTCATAGAAAGTGGAAGTTGCTTTCTTGAGAACTTGATTTCATCAGGAAGATTAGGCACGAGAAATTGTTCAGAATCTGAAGAAACTTTCTTATGTGGCTCATATAACATCATGGATGATATTGTACACAAAGCAAAGAATCCAGTTCCATGAAACACCAACCGGGGGATCCCAAATTTGGCTGCAGCATCAGTGGCCCAAGGAAAGAACATATCGGCTACCAGGCAATCCGGTTTATATTTTCCCAGTAACTCCTCAAGCGGTTCCTGGAGCATTACTGTAGCTTCGAAAAATTTCATGATCGATTCAGAGCTTGGTTGACCGGAATTAGTGATAGCATCAACATTTTCACAACCCTCCGGCAATCCGACCTCCACAGAAGGAAATTTGATTATCTTGATGTCGATTTGGGTACCCAAATTCTTGATTCTTTGGTTTGCTTTTGAGAAGAGAGGTGCATCGGCCTGAGTGGTGATGGCTGTGATTTTGACCCCTCGTGCTGCGAACAGCTTGGCCATGTCCACAAATGGAATAATGTGGCCGTGAGCCATGAAGGGAAAAAAGAACATGTGAAGCTTAGGACTTTCACTCTCCATTGATGTTCAATAGTGAATACTGGAGCAAAATGATGAAGAAACGAAGACGATTATTATTAGGAAAAGGATTGAAACAAATAAATACTGTCCTTACAAGAAGAAAAGCTGGTATTACACGGCTTTGACGTAATTTATGTAGGATCACTGAACCAGACTTTATTATAATTTAATGACCCAGTGGAAAAGATTTTTAAATCCATGAATAACAAAAGTCTTAAAAGCATCAATTAAATATCTAGAGTTTGTCAAGAGTCCTTTTCCATAAAGTTTAATATTAATGTTAAAGAATCGTATATTTATGCTATTAATAACAAATGGAAGTTATTAACAAATTCACTCTAACCTAACCCTTAATTAACAAAGGGTTGTCTTATGATATGTCTTTATTTCGATGTTATATTATAGAGTAAACGCCTTTTTTCCACCCAAGGTTTGCCTTAATAACACTTTTTCATCAAAAAAGTTTCAAAATAACGATTTACTACCCAAAGTTTATATTTCGTTTACTATCCAGAATATACTTTCTAATTCGGCAACAAAGGAAGAGCAAACTTGGTCCAGGCTATAGAGGTTTTTGAAGGGAGATATTTTTTGGTGGTGGTAGGTTGGATTTTGATAATTGAGATTAGTCAGAATCTAATTTGAGAAGGGCAGCTTCCACAAATTGTTCGATTCTCGACAATTGACAAGATCGGCGGGAGTAAGGTTTGAGGTGTTTTAGTGAGTAATGATCGAGAAAGAGAATGGTGGTGGTGTGGGGTCGTAATAATATCACAGTCAGCTTGCAATTGGTTGGAATATAAACTTTGGATAGTAAATTAATGTTTTGAAATTTTTTGGGTGGAAAATGTCGTTAAGGCAAACCTTGGGTGAAAAAAAGTCGTTTACTCTCATACTATATATGAAAAGATAAAAGAAAATATAAATTTCAATATATTAATAAACTAATTTTTTTTTATCTTCTAATGTTCTTAAAACATAAGTTAACATTACTCGATAAGAAAACCCAAAAACAAAAGATGATTGTGAGGGAGTATAAAGAATTAAAAGATTAAATAAATGTCTGGCCTAGATAGAGTGGAAAAGTATTGAAAATTGAAATGGTTACATAATCTCTTACGTCAAAATGTGCACATCCCATTGAAGTGAACGTGGCATTCTTCTGGAAAATTGTCCACAACCACAAGTGCCTCTTCCATCTTAAAAATTCCTATCCTACTCAGTCAAACAAATAAATGTTTTAATGCTTGCTATCCACCCATTCCAAATTTAATTTAGATGACATCATATAATGTCAAATATATTCACTTTTATTAAAAACATACGTCTTTTTTTTTTTTTTTTATAACTGTTGGTATTTATGCTAGTTTACGTATACCTTAATTAATTTTTTGGGACCCTAAAACTACTTACTGAGTAAGAGTTTCAATAACTATTCCTATTAGGAACGGAGGGAGAACTCGAACTCAAGATCTTTTAAGTGATACATTTAAAAATCCCTATCGAACCACTCGACCATCTAAAAGTGGTTTAAAAACATAGTTTATATCACTTTAAAAATTTTAATAGTTCTCTGAAAACTGAAAAAACCCTTTCAAAAGAGTATTAAGATTTTGCATTCTTAATTGACTGCTCGAGAAAACAAGTGCTAGTTTTGGTATTGTGGTTCAATAGCTATGAGCGGGGCGAGACAGCGAAGCCATTTCCTTTGTCAACTTCTCATTGTTACATGGGCTTCTCTGGCGAAGCTGGCCTCTCCAGAATTTCTTATATTTCTACTATTGAATTTTCAAATCAGAATTCAGAACAGTAATCTGTAGAAGAATCTTTTGCCTCAAATGAGTTGTATTGGCTTGTACATTCTGTCTAACCAAATTGAATTTTCAAATGGATATTTTAGTTGGGCTTTCCCTAATATGGTTCAAATTGAACAACTTATGCAACTTTGTTATTGACTTGAATTGAGAACAACTTTAGATGTTATTTAACACCTTTTTGCTAGTCAAAACAATCAGGCCTTGAATCATAGCAAGTTGAGTATCCTTTATGCACAGCCAGTTTGGGACTTAGGCTCTATCGAAATAACTATTAGCTGCAACTGAATACTCAATCTCATGGCTATAGCCTATAGTTAGTGTTTTTTGGACCACTTTGTGAAAGAAGACGAGCCAGTGGTCCTTTGGGCATCATCTTTTGAGTCCTCTTATAGTTTTCATTACCCATATAAATATTTTAGCCTACCTGACAATGACAAGGCAACTTGTCCTCATTCTCATTAAACAAACTTCAACATTATCAAGAGAATTATAAGCTTATGTCAAAACGAATATAATACCTGTTCGTTTATCTGTTGAAGTGGAAGCTTGAAAACGATGTAGTATTGGGTTAAGTTGGACGGCGTCGTTTCAAGGCAGAGTTGGGTGAATCCTGGCCATCAATATTCATTTGATCCAATAGCTACCAAGCAGTCTCCAAGTCAACGATATATAAACTCGTTTTTCACCAAATCAACACAACAATTCCTCCTTCCATTCGATTGAGTGATAGAGAAGAGAAATTAGGGTTTGTGGGAAATTCTTGTTCAAGATTATTGTAACTGGGTAGACTTGAGTGATTAGGGCTATAATCATTCTTGGGAGGGTTAGATCTCTCAGTTTAGAGTGTCCTGGGTGAGATTCTCTAAGGGGCTAGTTACGGGTTAATCTTGTATCAACGGTATTTCATTAGGTTGATTGATTGTGAGTTCGTAACAATGATTCTTGGGTTATAATTAGTGCAGTGAGCTCCTCCCTTTCTGGAGCTCAACGTGGATGTAGCTTATCCTATATTAGATAAGTGAACCACGATAAATCGTCGTGTTCTTTCTATTCTTGCTTTGATTGGGTGTGTGTTTGGTTTAGAGTGAGTTCTTTAATTGCATAAAAGCGGTATCAGAGCCAATTTAGAGTCTAGATTAGAATCTTGCGTTCCTAAAACCCAATTGAAGTCAACTCTTGAAATCTAGGGTTTCGGCAATTTGGGGGTTTCTCAAATTCGACTGTTTTGAGTCTTCGTATAGCGTTAAGGATTCGGGATTCGAGATTTGAGTGGAATTTGTCAATCTTGGGAAAAATCTAGGGTTCCAGAATCGTTAAAATCTTTAAGGAAAAGATTTAGGGTTGTAGATTAGGGTCTTTTCAAAATTAATCCTCAAACACCATAACCATGACCACTACTCAGTTGGAGATCACCCAATATGATGGGAAGATCAATTTTGGAAGCCTGAAGAAGAAGATAAAGGCCCTACTCTCTCTCTCACACACACACACAAAAAAAAAAAAAAAAAAATTGTGATTGTACTGGAAAAGGACCACAAGAAGTGGTCAAAAGAGAAATTAAAGAAGAAGGAGGAGATCAACGAGGAGGCCTACAACCTGATCGTGATGAACCTCTCGAACAGTGTACTTCGAAAGGTAGATGGATTTGAAACTCCTCTTAGACTGTAGGGTAGGCTTGAATCATTATATGCTTTACAATATGCACCGAATCTTGCATTCTTGAAGGGTGCATTATTCTCTTATAAAATGGATAATTCTAAATCAATTGAGGATAATTTGGATGAGTTTTTAAAAATGACTTTGATCTTGAAAGGCATAGATCAAGAGTTTAGAGATACTAGCCTTGCCATGATCTTGTTGAACTCACTAACTGATGACTACCAAGTAGTCAAGAATGCCCTACAGTACTCGAGTACTGTACCTAGTTTAGACCTGATCATGGCTAGACTTAAGGCTAGGGAGTTAGAGCTTAAAACCCTTAAGAGGAACAATAGTAATCTGTTTGTAAATGGTAGGGTCGAATCCAACCAATGTAGTAAAGGAAACCAATCTAACCATGGGGGTAAGAACAAGAAGAAATGGAAAGGGAATAATAAGGCTAAGGCAGAAACAAGACAATGTTTTTATTGTAATAAAACGGGTCATTTGAAGAAAAATTGTTTTGATTTGATTAAGAAACAAAAACTAAGAAACACAGAGAATAATTTGGCTACCACTAAGAACATGACAGATGAACCAGAAATACTTATAGTGTCAACATCTGACACTGCCAAGGAATGGGTGTTAGACTCTAGTTGTACGTTCCATATGAGCCCAAACAAGAGCTGGTTTCAAGAATTTGAAGCCTCTAATCATGAGACGATATTCATGGGAAATAATCATGCCTGTAGGGTTAAGGGAATAGGTAGTATAACATTAAGGTTAAGTGGGGGGGAAATTGATTAAACTGACCAAAGTGAGACACATCCCTGAACTGAAGAGAAATCTCATCTCCTTAGGGACCCTAGATGAAGCAGGATGTTGCTATAGGGCTGACAATGGTTGGTTAAATATTTACAAAAAAATGAAAAGTTAGTCTTAACAAGAGAAAAGAAAAATGGTCTCTATATTCTCTATGGATGTTTCTATTCTAAATGCAATAACACTGCTCTTATTTCTTCAAACTTGTCTATGACTGAAAAGTGCCATTTGAGGTTGGGTCATATGAGTTAAAGGGGAATGGATGTTCTGAATAGTCAAGGGTAGTTTGGGAAGGACTCTGTTACTACCCTAGAATTTTGTGAGAATTGTGTTCTAGGTAAATAGCATAGAAATAGCTTCTCTAAGGGAACCCATTTAGCTACAAATTGCCTTGATTATTTACATTCTGACTTATGGGGACCTGTGATAGGATCTTGAAAATACATATCCCTTTAGTGATTCAATTGGATTATTTGTGGAAAAATGTGTTTTTAACGTGAAATTTGAGTTAATTATTTCATAAATACCTTTTATGGGATCATGAGGTGTATTTTGAGTATTTTCAGGTTAAAAACGATATTTGAATAATGAATAATGATGCCGATGAAATTTGTGACGAGTAGGAAGAAACGGTGCAAGAATCGGAGTTGAAACAAGAAAGTTGTGACGCGTTGAAAATGAAACGTAAAACCTGGAAATTTGTCAAGATAAGCATGCTTCGATGTTTTCTTGAGTTGTAGAAATCGAAATTCGATGATCCTTATGGCGTTGGAAAGATTATTCAGACAGCTACAAAGTCCATTTGATGACTTCACCAAATTCTAAATATTCCAGACTCATGG